TTATATGTTTGCACTAGTCCTTCCTTTCTCCTTGTTTAACCCTACATCCACAACTTCTGAAATATTTAGATTTCAATTTGTTCATATAATCTGGGATTAACTCGAAGGGGGTGGATTGGTGTAATGACTTTTGTTGTTTCTGTCTTTTTCAGAAGGCATCTAATACCTACATTACAGATAAGATTCATCATTTTTTCAAGATTTGGGACTCAAGAAATAACTCTTTGGATGACAGAGTATTGATGCAGCTGTTTACATGACTGTACTTTATATTATGATTAGATGTTGGGCAGATTTGATTATTATAAATATTTGTTTCTGAACAACATGAGGAATATTTGTTTATACATTTTTCACATTACATAAGGATGAGCAAACTTATAATTATCTGTAGACCCATTATGTAAGGGGAGGAGAATTTATCATCTTTATTTGATTTTCTTTCCAGCATCCAGCAAGGGTGGATTTTTATTTTTATTTTATTTTTCTATGTGGAGTGTTAGACTTGGCTCATTTCCCCGCCTTTTTTGTACCCATTTTTTGTTGTTGTTACTGTTGTTGTTGGATGTATGTTTTTTTCTGTTTTCTTTGCTTTGCATTTTATTCCTTTTGATAAACCATAATATATAATACATTATACATACATACAGTATAAATACACACACACACACACACACACACACACACACACACACACACGAAGGTCTTGGCGTGTTCGGGTCTTTTTCCATGTAAGATTGAGAGCATCTTGGCAATGTTTCGACGAGGTCCCACTCGCCATCTTCAGGCTGGTGCTTTCGGCTTCGTGCTTGTGCGAGCAAAGAGTGATCGGAGCTGCCGTCTCCCTATATATGCTGGTGGGGAGGTTGGCTGTGTTGTCATTTCTTGATTGGTTGATGGAGTTGATGTTTGGTGGGCTGGCAGATGGGCTGGCTTTTTTGTAAGAACATGTGTGGCTGAGGTATTGGCTGTGTGTCTATCAGCCTCCTGTGTTGTAACGACCTGGGTCATGGGCTATGTGATGACCTTCTGAGTTCTATTGTTTTGACATCCTGGCTCTTGTGCTGTATCTCCTGGGTCATTGGCTGTGTTGTAACATCCTGAGGTTTTGTGGTGTAACCTCCTGAGTTGTGTGATGTGATATCCTGAGCGGGTGGCTGTGATGTGATGTTCCAGGTTTTGGTTTGGCTCTGAGTTTGAGGACTGGATATGTGTTCATGGCATGTGTCCGTTTGCTTGGTTTGGGGGTCAGGGTGTGTGGCAGCTGGTGATGCAGCCATGCTCTGGTTTCTGGATGGTGGTTGTCTTTCGTCTATGGGATGGGTTTGGGTTTGAGTCTGGTGAGGGAGAATGGTGGTGGTGTCATATGTTGTTGTACATGAATAGACGGGACAATGCCTCCCACCTACCAGACATCTGGAAACTAGCCCTTACCAACAAACAAGTCCCAGCCATGAAAACCAACACTGGACCCTCCTTGATTAGTTTCCACCCATTGATTCTTATCCTGCCTTCTGGTGCTTTGGAGAATAAATTGATTCCCTCTCCTTTGTGGCAACCACTGAAATTTATTTATATATTTTTTCTTCATTTATTTTTGATTTGTCAATTGCTTACAAGATAATAGGTGTAAGTATAAACATGAGAAAGAATACAGGAAATAGGTACGAATAAATGGGGACAATAGGACAAGGGCGGTAGAGGCACCACTGTGCACGCCCCTTACTTAAATATTGGAGGTCTGCTGCCTTGTCACCCTTAGTCAGTGGTGGGATTCAAATTGTTTTACCACCCGTTCGGTGGGCATGGCTTGATGGGTGTGCTTGGTCATTGGAGGCTTTTTTTTTTTTACTACCAGTTCCGGTAGCATAACACATAACTACCCCAGTCCTTCTCTTCATTAGACGAGACATAACCCAATCCCTGCAACCTTTCTGTTGTAATGACGAGGCAGTCGAGTCATTTGATCATGAACAACTGAATCATGATGATCTTTACTGGAGTCTAGTCTTGCATTTATGCACATTTTTAATTATCCTCCATCACTGGTTAACTTTGGTTACTGCTTAACTTTCGTCACTGTTTAGCACAGTAATTAATTATCTCTATTTAAAGTCTAACATATGTTTACTTCTTCTCTCTAATCCTCCTTTAGATTAGTGACTTTGTTTACCTGAGTTGTATTTGCTTGGAAACATTCATTATCTGAGGTTTGCCATTCGAGATTGGAACATTCCTGCAATTACAACTCTACACTTTCTTCATACATTTTATCCTCCCATCCCCTAATCCTCTCTGTTGTGCTTCTCTGCACTCTCCCCAGAGTCTCAACATCTATCTATCTATCTATCTATCTATCTATCTATCTATCTATCTATCTATCTATCTA